AGCAGGAACATTTTCCATCTTCATTTGGAAAATAAACTTGCTGCAGTTGTCGGGGGAGAAACAATCGGGAGCATCCATAGGACCGGGAGCTGTCTGTTCTCACTCTTCAGAGAAAGACCAGGCCAGAAGACAGGGGGCTGAACCTCCCGTTGGAAAAATCCCATCTTGTCTATGGTTAAATCGGCATGGCCACACTTCTTTCCTTCAGGAAGTGGAGGGGCTCCCTTGCAGAACAGTTAATATCTCTGCCTCTTTTTTTTTTCCTCTTTTGTTTTTCTTTCCTGCACAAATACGTATATACTTGCTTGAATAAAGCTCTTTTACAGAAGATTGAGCTTGCCCATCAGTACTGAATAATACAGAACTGGGATTCAATAGAGTTGAATTTTCAAGCTCTTTCTCTTATCCCATGCTTTCTTCATTCCAGCGAGAAAACTAGCTTAAAAAAAAAAAAGGAAACACAACTTGCAGGATCCTTTAACTTTTTCATTTCCTCTCTGTAGTAACCAGTGCTTTATTTGGAAGCAATTGACAACTTCTGATGAGGACCGTGAAGTTTTATATAAAATTCTACTTACGTGGTACATGTTCCGAGTGTTTTGTTGACTAAGGCAGAAAAACTATAGTTTTGGCTTATTAGTTCAATTCGTTATAATTATGCCTAATAGTTATGGAGGAGTCTTTCCAGCCCTCTTTTTCCCCACCCTCTTCTTCTCCACTAATTGTTATTTAACCAGATCTTAGCTTTAGTAGTTGAAAAGCAAAAGAACAGCTTAAGGAATACACTCTACTACAGCGATCTTTGTTTAGTTTAAACATCTGTTGCTGTGTCCCTTATTATGGAAGTTAACGTTTTTAACACTAAAATAAACACACACAAAATGAAGAAAAGAAAAGCAAAACTTCAGTGGTGTTTATAGTGAGGTGTTTATATCCCAGTGGTTTAAAAAGTATAAACACTGGCAACATCTGCAGTGAACTAGAAGGGTGTTGTAGAGGTGCCTACAGATCTTCCATGCCTCGGCCTTAGTATTTATTTTATAAGTGAGTTGTGTCAGCAGTGATGGATCCTGTCTTTTCAAAGGTACTGCTGCGGTAGTAACTGTTGACAACAAAATGCCCTTTCAAACTCATTTAATTAGGATTTATTGAAGGTCATACTTGGACTACTGATAAATAGATGTCTTCCTGAAAAGTACTTTTGCAGATGTAGGGTAAGATACAAATACATTGTACGATGTGAAAGTAGGCTTTTAATTTCAGAGGAAAGAATTATCGACCTATATGCCACAGGAAATAAATGAGATGGGTTCCTTATTCCTTTCAAACCTCTCTTGAAACACTTGCTTTTGCTTATTGAAATAATTGGTACGCTGGTGAAATGTGTCATTATCATTTTATGAGGTTTACTAGTGGTTTTAATCGTTCACCTCTGGCACAAGCCACTGGAACCATCATTGATTTGTAGCTGCAGCTTATGGATAAGAGATGTATTGTGTGCATTTGGCAGCTCTTTAGTTCAGCATGGAGTAGAAGATAACGTGCGTCCCAAGACGAGTCCTGCTTTTTCTTGCCCAGCAAGAGTTACAGATAGCAATTTGTTATCTTCAAGCTTCAGGCTACTGAGTTACCACTGGCACTTGGTTAGTCTTCCTTGACTGGTAGGGGCAGGAAACCTCAGCTATGTCTTCATCTCATTCGGTTCCTAACTAGTGTCATTCATCACCATGCCCCAGTGAGTATGGGACCATTTATTGACAGAGCTGTTTCGTTCATAAAATATATTTCTGGTTTTGGTCTTCTCATTGGGGGCCTGGAGGAAGAAAGTAGAATGGCACCTGATACAGACGGGATCTGCGTCATGGACAGACAAGAGTCCTTTTGTTGAGGTTGGGAGTGGGAGATCTAGAAGTTCTCCCATTGGCCTTTAAGAAGTAATGGTGTGTTGCAGATTTAGCTGTCCGCTTTGCAGTATGGAACCTTAACTGAAGTTGACTGTTTTCGTGAGCGTAAGAATTTTTTTAGTTGTTTGTTTGTTTGTTTTTTGTGCTGTGAGGGTGGTCTAAGGCTGCCACAGGTTGTGGACTCTCCATCTTCGGAGATGCTCAAAACCCGACTGGACACGGCCCTGAGCAATCTGCCTGTGATGAGCCTGGTTTTGAGCAGCAGGTTTGGACTAGGTGATCTCCAGAGGTGCCTCCAAACCTCAACGCTTCTGTGATTCCGTGGTATGATAGAACGCTCTGCACACTGGTATAATTAAGAGAGCCACAGCCAGCAAAAGGGGTGTCACCAGCGAGGAGGTGAGAAGGCTTTTGAAAGGGGATCCATAACTTGGAATCGCAGAATAAAGCTATTTCCTTTCCTCAGGATTGTTTGGTTTATACTGATAATTTGTGTCCTTTTTGAGTGTTTCCTTAATATTATTACTAGCTTTGAGCTCCTCGTGGTGTCCCGTGGTAATCTCAACTCTGTTTGATGCTTTTGGAGGAAAATCTTACTTTTAACACATGGTGGGTTTTTTGACAAGTTGCATAAAAAAGAGCACTTGAGTTTTGAGCTCCTCGTGGTGCCCCGTGGTAATCTCAACTCTGATCGATGCTTTTAGAGGAAAATCTTACTTTTAACAACATGGTGGGTTTTTTAACAAGTTGCATAAAAAAGAGCACTTGAGTTCTGTCTCCCTCTGCAGTGAAAGAAAAACTTTAAATCATTCAAATGAGAATGTTTAGCCTTTACCAATGGGAAAGCGACAGTTATATTAGCAATGATTAACCATTTCAAGCAATTTATTGTAATATATTTGGTGCAAAAGAATGGAAAGAAAGAAAAGAAGAAGTAATTAGAGAGTTGTTGACTCAGCATCTGGATGCTGATTTTTACCATGAACACATCTGATATTCTCCTACTAAACCTTTGCTGCCAGTGATCAACAATGGCCAGTTTAATGAGTAGTGCTTTCTTATAATTGTTTTCTTCCTAATGAGCTCAGAGACATCAGAGAACTCTCGGGAGATGGTTGTCCTCGCTGAGGTGCAAAGGCCATGAAGCAGAGCTGTTCTGTACCAGTCTGGCGTTCCCAGTGCTTCCTATCAAATGACAAGCACTTGATCCGGGCATGTATTCAGAGGTAGAACATCTGCATCTTGTTTTGCGCTGGAAACTCATTTAACTTCAGCTGAATATTCTTTCTCTGAGAGCCTTGTGTGTGAGGTAATGGCCGGAGGGCTCAAACGAATCACAGGTGATCCTGCTCTTTGACTAGTGCAGGGGCAAATTTTGGCTCCTTGTTTCCAGTGGAATATGTATGAGAAGGTGCAGTCTCCAAGTAGCAGATTTGTTTCGTTTTGTTGTTTATCGGAGGGAGTGTACAGATGGCTGTGCTTTGGAAGGCAGATTTCTGCCTTCCTTCCTCTCTCTCCCGTTTTCAAATGCTTTGGGTTATTACTGCATTCTCGAGGCTTGAACTGCTGTGCTGGGAAAGGTATAAAGAAATGCAATAAGATGCTAAGAAATCCCCCAGGCACGTTAGGAGACTTGGAGCGCTCAAAATAGTTATACAGAGTTCTCTGGACAGTCCAGAAGGCTGGATTTTTTTAATGAAGAAAATTGGATCCAGACTTATAGAAAAACACCCCTTTTTGGTTTCGGGACAGCTTACATTAGTTAGTGGCATATTACATAATTATTTCACTGAGTTCCTCTAACAATGAAGCATTCGTTGGCCACAGCCCTGAGCTTGCATAGCTGTGCATCTTCTTAGGGCACCGCGAGGCACTTTGAATGGATGTCTGGCTTCCCAAAATGGCCAGTTTAGATGTTCGATATCAAATGAGGAGCCTGAAACAGATTCTGCTAACTTCATTTGCTTTTTAATGGAACGTAGTGTGTTTTCTGAAGTGCTAAAGAATGGTTTCCATCAGTTTCCTTTGCTGACCTTGCATTTTACTCTGGGTTTGTAACATCAGTTTCTCCTATTAACTCCAAAGTTTAGTTTAATTTCTAAATATATAAAATGACTTTAACACTGTTCCTCTATTAAGAGTCAGTGGAGTAATAAATGGGGTAAAAATCACCTTCATGGTGAATTCAACACTCTTATTTGTACTGCAGTGTAAAATTTCTGTTCAAAGCCATGTAAATTAAGATGCACCTACAGAATGTTCCCCATTTATAGTGCATTCTGTGGGTTTTGCTTTTTCAATGTCTTCTATCTTCAGGAAAAAACAAAGAACTCCAACTTCACAGTTGGGCTTTTCTTACTCATTTCCTCCTAGC